GGGCGGGGCGGGGCGCGCGCGGCCGCCGCGCGCATGCGCGTCCCAACCCCCATTTCAGGGAGCCGCGAGGGGCGGGCGCTGTGTGTGTGCGTAGCCACCGCCGCCGTTATTTCCCCGTGCTCAACGGCCGCTCCTGGGCTGAGAGCGGCACTGGCTCCGCGCTTGGGGTTGTGTTTTTTGATTTTTCTTTCCTTTTTCCGCAGGACGCGGTTGCTGCCGCTCTTCGTAGCCGCTACGCGCCGTGGTTGGCGGTAGGGCCAGGCCGGGCCGTTGGAGGACTCGCGCCGCACGGAAATCGGGCGGTTTTCGAGCCGTGGGGTTGACTCTGCGCTTGAAAGGCGGTTTAAGCGGGTCGCTATGCGGGAGGTCTCTCAGCGGCCTCTCAACTGAAGAGGGCAAAGTGCTACTCTGTAACGGCTGAGTTTCATATAAAGAAGAAAAAAAAAGAAATGTGCCTGTCAAGGCTACTGGCTGAAGAGCTTTTGTGCTGTGGTGGGTTGGCTTTGGTTAGTGGGTGCAGGTGTGTGCAATTAAGTGAGGTCTAAAGCTGAAAAGCTTCCCCCTGCTGAAGGTGAGGACTGAGTCATCCTACACACCAAAGTATTTAAGAGCATTTCTATATGCTTAAAAAAATAATAGAACCATGTATTCAGTTGTATTTTTTCCCCTTCTTACCCACTAGAAGAGTAAAAGAAACACAAGGAGGACTACTTGTAGGTATGTTCCAGCTGTGTTTTAGGTGACATACATAGCTAATGCATTTGAGAAAACATATAGACTACTTACTATCATAGATATGTTGTTATAAGTATTATAACAAACATAATTCAGCCTTTCACAGAATATGTTTTTAATTAGGACCCAAATTAGCACAGGCTTCTGTAGCAGGAAAATGATGCAAGATCTTTTATCTACTTACGTAGAGAAATACAAAAAAGTAAACATGCTTCTAAGATAGGTTAATGAAAATGATCCTGAAAGGAGAGGAGAAAAAAAAAAAGAAAAAAAAAAGAAAAAGCGCATTTAAGCTACCTCCACTACTTCTGTGAAACACTGAGGAGTGGTAAGGTAGTAACTAAACTTAAAGCAGAAGTGAAGCTGTATCTTGTCTCCAAGTGAAACCAAATGACCTTGTATAATTGTCACTTTTGTGCAGTTTTTTACAAACAGTAGAACATCTGCTGTGAGTAGAAGAGGACAGGAAAAAAAAAAAGTAGTATCTGTCTGTATGTGGAAACTCACTCAAAAATAATATCTCCTTCTAAATGTACTGCATATGTGTATCTCGGGCTGAGGAGTTTCAGCTTGGAAAATGCACTTTTTGCCGAATACATTGTAAGTTGCCATGCATGACAAATGGAAGTTGTACAGTTGATATCCCAAAAATTTATTTACAGCCTCAGAGCATGAAACCGATGACAGGTAAAGGACTGTGTGTGTTCATTCAGTAAATATAAATTAGTTGTATACATTCTGTAAACAATTTTAATTCGAAACTTTTATAAAATACATCTTGTATTTACATACATACCTGATCTAAAAATTGGTTCATTGAATGCAAAGTTGTAACAAACTATCAGAACCATCTGAGAGTTGTATCTTTCTTTGCACATCATATGCAAAAGGTGAGCGTAAAAGATGCTTTGAAATTAAAAGGTGCAAATCTGCAACTGCATATAAAATACATACTATGGTAAGTGCATATCTACAGCGCATATTACACATGCCAAGCTTGGAAAAAAGTACAGGTAAAATTACAACTAGAGATTTCACAAAATTCAAGGCTAGAACTAAGATGATTGGATAAAGGTGATGAGTCTAGAGGAGGAAATTAAGTAGCACACTTTTGCATCCTCTTAGGCAGTATTCTATCTCATTGAGTGCATGGATCCACTGTGAACATCCCTAAGTCTGCATGCAAAGAGGAATTAAGCTTTTAAGGTCAACTCTCTTGATAGCCTAAATGTATGTGTGCTTTCTCTTAACTTCTGATGTAGGTCCCTGTCAATTTTGTTTGGCTTTAGTCTTCAACTGCTACTTCGAGAATCCTCTTTAGAAAACAACTGTCAGTAGACATAAGAGACCCTCATATCGTACCTGATTCCGGCATGAAACCACTTATAATGCTCCCCATGCAGTTTTTTCATGGGGCATGAATGCTCTTAAGTTTTCAGATGGGTATTTATTTTTTACTATCATTTGCCATCACATAAGTCTGCATGCAAAGAGGAATTAAGCTTTTAAGGTCAACTCTCTTGATAGCCTAAATGTATGTGTGCTTTCTCTTAACTTTTGATGTAGGTCCCTGTCAATTTTGTTTGGCTTTAGTCTTCAACCACTACTTTGAGAATCCCTGTCAGTAGACATAAGAGACCCTCTTATCATACCTGATTCTGGCATGAAACCACTTATAATGCTCCCCATGCAGTTTTTTCATGGGGCATGAATGCTCTTAAGTTTTCAGATGGGTATTTATTTTTTACTATCATTTGTCATCACATAAGCTAGTAAATTTGAATGAATTACATTTCAGTAAGCTGTAAGCTTTGTTCAGTTTCCTTGCAGAGATAATTGCTTTAGTATAATTGTGAGTTCTTTCACTAGAACTTCCATAGAAGGTTGGAAGTTTAATAGGTGCATCAGCCAGAGAAACAAGTTCAATAAACTAAAGGTTTGTGGTAGAGTTGAAGGTTAAATGCACATTTAGCAGCAGCAATGACTGATAAGCTGATCTTTTAGTGATTTATCTTTATGCAGTCTAAAAAGCTGTGAAAGTTTTAATGCAAAAATTTGTCCATCATGGATCAAAGACCTTGTTGATGTTTTTAGTTCTAACAGCAAAATAAAGATAGCAGAAATGTTTTGTTTTAAATGAGGATGCAAGTTACATTGGTTACTTTTTTTTAAGCAACTTAAGATCTACTTGGTAATATTAGAAACTGAAGAGTATAAATGACAAAGTATCATGCAAAGTGAAACTTCGGCAAAATTTATGTGAAGACACAACCCTAAGGACCATTACATAAGCAATCACTAGTGTACACAAAATATTTAGCATGTCATCACATTATTACAGAATCCTTGCAGAGTCAAACTTGGGGTGATATGGGCCTTTTTTAATGAGGGGGGCCAGGAATCAGGTCTTACAAGTTCTTTGTTTTGATTTTTTTTTTTTTGCTTTACAAGTGATAAACAGCCTTTGGAAAACAACAGATGCATGTTAAATACCATGCTATTAAATGCAAAACAGAACAAGGTGTTATAAAACATAGTAAGGGAAGCATTCCTTTTATTTTGTGATCATAACGTAACATTGTTCAAAGATCACACAAATTCAACAGATCCTTTTTCTTTTCCAACATGAAGCCAGCACTATAGTTGTCAAAGTTGTTTGCCAGTTTCTCTCTAAATTCACGCTATTAACTAAAATAATTTGATTCTGTAAGTAAGCAATTTAAAGAATTATGTCACGCAATAAATGCCTCGCTCCTCTGGTCAGAAGTAATAAATGAAGACTTCAAATACTTGTAGTTTTAGTTTTTAAAAATCCAATATACATCCTTCACCAAGGAGTATTTACGCTACACGCAAGCCATAGATACAAAATACACAGTATATACATTTTTTTGAAAACAAATTGGAATTTATAAAAACTCAATAGCCAAATCAAAATAGTTGAGGCACTAAATTAAAAGAAGTATCTTCATGTCTTGATTATACAGACTGTTCTGTGAACAATCAGGACTGTTTCATAAATATATATTATCTACAGAATTTGCTGTGCCAAAAAAGCCAGCTATGTTTAAGCTCAAAAGAAAAATTGCACTTTGAGATTGTTTTAGTTAACTTTTATTTTTTCTTCTCAAATATAGTAATCTGGTCCTAGTGCTTTTGGCACAGGTATCAAGCTGCATTTTTGCTAGACTTTGTTATAAAACACAAGGTTCTTGCATTTTGTTCATTAAAATCTGAAGAGTCTTAAACAAACCTAGAACTTTGATACAAATCTATATAGCTACAATTGCTCCATTAAATAATATACACAAATACTCTTTTCGATCTTAAAACATCTTGACCACTGGATAGAAAACAATCACTTGTACTATCTCCACTCTTCTGATCTTACGCATCATCAGTCTGAAGGTGAATAAAATATGATTTCTGGCCACATTCTTACACTAGATTACACCCCAGTGTACAAAGAAAGAAAATAAATGTACAGTAAAAAGATTGGATAAATTAGAAGGGGTTTCTTGGTCTTGAATTCTTCTCCAACTAGTAATGATGCAGCGCTGTAGGCAGCCCAAAATACTCCAAACAACTAAAAAGGAGAAGATGAAGAATGTTAGCTGCCATTACAAGAAAGTATCTCCAGCTACCGAAAAAAAATAAAATCTCTAACAATTAAAAAAGCCTACAGTTCCTGGAAGGAAAAAATAATTTAACTGTGCATTTAACTTCAGAGAAGCATTTGCCAAATAGGCATCTTATTTTGGTTTGAGACAGTATTTCTTCTACAACAGGAGCTAATATCTCCACTCTAAGAATCTACCCAAGTGTAAAGCATATAGATACCATACAGCAAGTGGCAAGCTTGCATACACACACAGACTGAAATCTCTTTTAATGAACAACTTTTCTACCTTACCTGGCCTCTACCCTTCACTTCAATTCACATACAAACACATTGTTTTAAACAACTGCTATACTTGAGTCCTCCACCACATCCTCCTGTGATTTAATCTAGAAGGTTAAATTAGGCATCCAAAACACACATTCCTACTACTTTCAGGTACAATGAGAAGCCTTGAAAAATACACTCCATATCAAATATGACAACATCTATGAAACCTCTATGCCCTTATCGTGTATACTAATACCCAGCCCTCCCAGGAAGCCAAATCTCTTTGAGTTTGCATTCTCCTGCTTTGGATGCAAAAACCTCTACTTTCTAAATTAAGAAAGAGCCAATTTAGAAAACTAGCAGAAAACAACATTGTATGTAACTTCATATGAAGTGAGTACACTACTGTTTAAAAGTCTAGAGACGAGTGAACTGGACTCAAACTTCAGACAAGGTTATAGGAAAAAGTAATTGGTCATCTACCACCCTCTAGTAGCAACCTGAATATTAATATACCTAAAACTGAATGGCATGCAAAAGGAACATAGGACCAAGGACCCGCTCAGTAAAAGGCAGACAGACTAAGACCCAAGCAAAGAACTTTCCACAGTTTTGTCAGAAGAGCTCAAGTCCCTTGAATGAGAGGTTTATGCACATGTTTTTATTCCATGCAGGCAGCTGCTGCAAAGAGTTATTTCAAAAAAGCTACTGAAAGCCACTTTATTTTGATTGATTTTTGAAAATGCATTTACATCTAAGTGATGTCACATTGGCAAAGAAGATATTCTTTGCAGGATAATTTTACCTTTTCTAATACCTTGATTACGAAATCTATGCAAATTTAAAATACTTACATTTAAATAAGTTTTATGCATTAAGTAACAAAAACAAACAGAATTTTTTAGCTATTATTAATGACAAAGAAAGCCCACACAACTTCAGTAAATAGGAGCATTTAAAGATTTTGATTTACTGTGGCTAGAACTTCAGAGAGCTATAAAGCCTCATCTGGCATTGTTGAAAAAATTAATTGTATGTGATTGCATACTTTGGCTTTTGCTCCCTGAGCTGGGACTGCAGAAGGAGACAGGATTCCCTAAAACACATTAGGAAACTGCAACAGGAAAAAAAAAATTAAGTACAGTACCTGAAAGGTTTTCCTGAATGCATAGAAAGAACTAACTGGAATTTCACTGCAAGTTCCACAGCTTTAAGGCTCCAAAATATTTCCCCAAATGCGGAGGTCCCAAACCAAGACACAGGTAATACACAGGAATTCACAGGAAAAATTAGTTTGGCTATATGAGGCTTAACCTGTATTTTCACACTAATGAATCAAAAACCTTGCACTGATTTGCCCTGAATTTAATGCAAATTTGATAGCAATAATCAGGTAACTGAGATTTCCTTAACCTATATTCAAGTAAGTTATGCATTAGATAAAATCCAAGTTAGTAATCTGCTTTCTGGCTTTACTTCTTAATAGTAATTACAAGTTATCAAATTGCAAACACAGTAACATTCTTGTTTTACATACACTTAAATTGTACTTCAATTGCAGTATTTACCAACAAGCCGGGAGTATGTTAATGAAGTTAATGAAAGCAACAGAACAAGAACCAAAAAGTTCACAAATTATCATGCAGCAGAATTTTCTCAGGCAACCTTTCCAAAACTTCAGCAATAATCTCAAGGTCTCCATAAAAGCTTGCATGAAACATTGGAAGTGTTCGATGAACGTCACGTAGCTCCACTACACCTCAGGGGAACATTGCTAGCTCCATAAAAGGTGTCCAACAGCAGGTGATATCAAGAAAGCTGTTCTTGCTTTCTGTCTTATATTCCACATAGGTGGAAAGCTTCTCAGAAGAGCAAGCCGAGCGCTTTGTACTGTTACCATCAAGGGAGAGTCTCAAAACAAGGACTACTGTCATATTCATGCTGCAATAACTAAAAATAAACTGCATGACAAGGGAAAGGATTGAAGAGCTTACTTCCAGACTCTTCATTTTGATGTTTAAGTATACATCCTCTTCTGCAATGATAATCCTATTTTTTAAAAATGCAACTGCTGTAACACAGCGTAACATTATCTTATTAACAACAGATTTTTTTATGGCAACAAGACCATATATTCTAAGTAGAAATATTTAAAACAGAATCTGCTTCTCAGTCTTATCCCTCCATGCTAACTAAAAGGATCACACTCACAGGAGTTATATTTATGTATATTCTGACAGACTGTTACAATGTCCTGAACAGATTAATGCTTGAAGCATTAAGGCAGTGACTTAAAAATACTTGCAAATTCTCAGTACATGTTACTGAGCTTACCTTTATTAGTGTAGAAACAACTTCAAATGATCCAACTACCACAAGTACAGGTGCTATGACAATGAGAGGAAGTAGGGAATATCCTATTACACCAAGAACTTGGCCGTAAGCCACCTGAAATTTTCAAGCACACAAATAAATAAATAAAAAACACAGACTTAATAGTACTAATCTTTATCACCAAACACAATCTAATCTTGTTATGACAGAATCAAGTAGCTATACTAACAATGTGCTGGGCATTCATAAATTTCATCTGAAGGAGTTTGGGGGAGGGGGGGAGGGTATTGTATGGAAAAAACCCACAATTTTCATATTAACAGTTTCATAATGAATAATTCAATTCTCTTAGAAGCTTAAATCAATGTATATTAAATGACAATGTTAACATTTCCAATGGCAGTAGAGAGGTGAGAAATATGTAACTCAAAACACACACCCCACATTTCCATGCTGCCCCTCAGGTGGTTTGCAGCTGCCACTCTCCATGGAGTGTGTGACTGATACAGAGGAGCACTCAACAAAAACAGACCTCTTGGTCACCAGCTGCAGACCCGGCTACCACAGGCAGCGCAAAATACAATTCCTTGCAGTAACGTATGAACCCATATTTTAAAGTACTTTTGGCCTCAATGCAAGACCACTTTAGAACTCGATTCCTGTGGGAGGACAGAAAACTGATATCCAGTTCAGAATTATTATGGCTAGCTTAAACATATTTTTTGAAGTATTACCATAACTGCCTCCTGATGCCTAACTTGTCCCTTTTGCAATTTGAAATGTTCTTGGGCCCTGCTATGTTCCTTGGATTGAAGTCAGGAAAAAGAGTGCTCGGACAAATTACTGTCTTTCAAGCAATCACTTGTGGCAGCAGATCCTTCACAGTAAATCATGCAGATCCATAACAATCCTCTCTCCACTGTTTATATATTCTCAGTATTTCACACTTGAGCAATAAAAATAAGATTAAGAGCATCTGGATTATGACAATATGTGGAAATCCAATACAATCATATTTATGATTTTTTTTCTGAGTAGTCTTCACAAAAAAAGTCACTAGCAAAAAAAAATCAGAAAGAAAATCTTGAAACAAGACTAAACAAATAATTTAGGAAGTCTATGATACTAGTTCATCACCAATGCAACATGTGTAGTAAAAACAAAACTTCAAAACACAGTTCAATGCTGTGTAGCCATTTGCGGGTCTAGCTGTAAGCCATTTTCTGTAGTTTATACCTGAATCACTTGGTGACTCTATTCATAGGCACAGCTCCAAAGACTGTTTCCATGCTGCCACTGGGCTGATGCAAGTAGCTGGAGGGAGGCACGTAGGCCAGAACTGCACTTGGCTTCACAGTTGAGGAACACAGACTGAGTGTCATTCTGTGGTGGGTTTACATTGTACCAGTGCAAGGAGAAAAACCAATGCCGATAGGTGCTCTCTCCAAAGGCTACCAGAGCTATGCCATTAGATCAGCCCTATTCCACCTTCCTGACCTCCCCAAAAAAGGGATGGGGGGAAGTGAAAGGGTTGTGTGTGCAAGGAGAAAGCGTTTGATTTAGCTCAGTGATTGAAAACTTGAAGGCACTTCCCTGGAGAGGAATTTAGCTCTGGATCACAAACAACTGTCAGAATTTCTGGGACTTGGGGTAAAAATTTCCATATTGTTTATCATATCCAGCTCCCTCTATGCACTGTATAGAAAGAGTAGCTGTCCATCTCCGCATACGAGATTCTGCTGTGAGGAGCAGGAAACTAAAACTGAGGTATTATAGTAGCATCTAAGTTGGGGATTCACAATTAGCTAGAATGTCCAAAGCCAGGCCTCAAAGTAGCCAAGAAACCTTTCAAAAAAAACAACTTTCCCACCCTCTATTTTCACATACGGCTACTTACTTCTCCTCCGAGAACCCTGGCCAATAAAAAAATTGTCAAGGATCCAAATATCCAAATAGTTATAATCCAAGAAACAACCTTAAAAGATAAAATACAATTAGTTTACATTTATAATCTTCACTGCAGTCAAGTATCTTATTATGCAAAATTAATTATGAATTGCAGCAAATACATACAGTTTTACTCTGCATTACAACAGAGATAAAGAACAGAAGTCACAGCAATACAATACTGATGAAACTTCCTCCCACCGCCCCCCGCCACACACACACACTCTGAGCATTCCTGGTTCACCAAACTTACAATTAATGTGATTCTATAAGTACATCTCAGAAGAGAGAGGTTAGTTACTCATAAAGGCTAAGACAACTCCGGTTAAATCTTACCTAATACAATAGCTCAGCTGAGACTTGTATTTTATAGCATGGAAAAAAAATAACGTTTCATTCCACTAAACAGAAGCCAGCAAAAGTGTGCTCAGACAGGTTTGAAAGCTCAGCTCTACCCAGTAAAAAGAGTTAGAATTCTGCCTTTTATTTTTATTTTTTTTTTCCCTCTCCATCTTAGAGACAATATTTTATTCTTCATTCAAATGGAGAATATTCAAAAGTGGTGAAAGGACTTTAACTTACACTACAACTTGTTGAACGTGACAACTTAAGGAACAAACTTCCTTCCCGGGCCAAAGTGGGCAGTTATATTCCTTTTATATTTTCACTGTGCTACTCAGAATAAGAAACCTTAAATGATTCCCTGACTTAACAGAACCTTCAAAAGAACTTAACTGTTGTTGAATTTAAGCCACTGGGAGACCAGAAGTGGTGCTCTCCCTTTTGAAATAAACTTTTTAGAGAAAAACAACCAATCTCAGTCAGGTCTTTGTATTCCTAAGTATACAATGGCTGCACTTAAAATGAAGATTAGCATTCAGTTCAGCTTTTCCATTTAGGAGTTCTAGTTTCACCAGAAAAAAAAAAAAAAAAGATTTTCTTTACAGTCAAAAGTCACAGCACTATTTCAAAGAATATATGTATTTAAAAGCTTTATGCTCTTTGTGAAAATAGGGCATGACCTCCTTTTACACTCTGCCTTCCTCTGCTATGTAAAAGAAAACCAGACTAATGTGTTGGGGCAGGCATGCTCCTGTCTTGCCTGCATTCAGCCCACCCACCATTCAGTTTATCTAGTCAAGCTGCTGTCATTCACTGTGTTGCTAGTGACCAGCTTTCACTACCCTCTCCTCACACATGTACAGTACTCTGCATTACCCCGTGAGATAAACACCATCCATGGAGAGTTGATCCATCACAGGATCAAGGAATAGTTCTTGCTTTGCCCTGGAGGCAACTAAATGGTCCACTCAGAAGACCTGAATAATACAGTATTTTAGTCTACTTATTTTAAGTCCAATTGATACGAGATATTAGACTGAATTCTTAGTCAGCACTTGGTATGCATATGGCAGCTAGAAAAAAAATGAATGATTTTATCCCACCATTCACAAGCGTTTCAGCATAAGTATATTCTGTTATTTTACATGTATGTCTTGTTGCTATAGCATATTTTAAAAAATAATACATAAATATATATATCATCATAAGGATTTATGAAGCAAGATGCAATCAACTATTACCTCAAGATGACCTAGGGTCACATTCAGACTGTTTCTATAAATGATACTAATTCTATTTTGATGCAAGTGTAAATTAAAAAAGAAAAAAAAGTGTTTATGGAGGCCAATTAAATCTGTACAATGCCTCTACTTATTCACCCTAGAGTTAAAAGGAATTATGGAAAAAAAATCTATTGACTTAAGGAAAGTTATTTGATTGTAACTGAACAAAAGGGAGGACAAAATAGCACAAAGCACTAATAAAGATAAGATGTACCAGGTAATAGTTGTGATCTAGAATTAGTTAGACAAATAGCTTTTTGTCAGGAAATTAAAATTCATGTCATCCACACAGATATTCTTTTTTTAATTTCTGGTAATTAGAAAAAAATGTTAAAAAGAGGTTACAGTTAAAATGGCATGATTCACTAATATGACTCTAATTATATAATCATTGATCCATTTCCTCCAGTAATCACTTCTTTCCTTTGTTTTACTATAAAAACAAAAATCTGACATTTTCTCATGTTTAACATGATCCACGGTCTATTTCATACAGTTGAAGTTAATATCTAGAAAGACAGCAGTAAGAAATGAATTTGGAATATCCCCCCTCCTCATTCTCATGGGAAGAAAGGACTTTCTAGTTATTAAAAATACACAAATTATTTAGCAGTCATGCCCCCAAATTTAACTTAGTTTTCTTTTTAACTAGAAGGTTTATACCTACCTTGAATTGTCCATACAGTGAAATCATTGAGAAGAAGAGGACAACTGCCAGGGGACCCCAAAAATCTGGATTGTCTCTCACTACCTGTCTATTAAACCCAAGAGATGGCATAGGCATCAACACACATCGAATTTTGTAGTAAATATCCTTCAGATCAATGTCCAGTTCTTCCCTGAAATTGTAAGGCAAAGGAGCATTACTATACACCACAAAAAGATCATAAAAACACATGCTTACGGGTAAACAACAGGTTTGTAGAAACAGTAGTGCTTTCTGAAGCCATGACTACTAAGGAAACAGTTCTTGCAAGGTATAGCAACACCTTATCATGCATTCACAAACTTTCATGCCACAGATGGATATATTAATTACACCAAAATAAATTCTATGACTGAGAATAGAAAATATCCGCATCACATCTTAACAGTCTGTTTTAAGAAAGTAAAACCTTTCTCTGACATGCAGGGACAAACATGGTACATTTGTGTTACTGCAAATATCCATGAGTCAAAGCCATACGAATACACTCAAGTAGGACGTCTCGGTGCATTTCTGTGTTCAGTGTGCCCTGAGCACACTTTTTAAGGAAATACATTTCAAATTCTACCAGAAAGAATACCCTTACACTCAGCAAACCTAAAATATTCAAAATACATTCATCAGGTCAATGTAACTTTTAATGATAATGAAATTGCTTCAACAGTAGCAGTTTTCACCATACCAGTTTATGCCAAGTGTTTAAACACTGTCTTGTTTCCAATATGGACAAGAATAAATAAAAGCCGATTAAGCGAGCACTAAGATTAACAATAAATGCTCCACCTCCCTAACTGCCTTTTCAAGTCCTTGACTACAAACAGTGCATGGACAGCTACAAATGGAAAAAGACTCTCCCTGTATAGGGGACTCTTAATTGGTGCAACTCTTGTCTTTAACATCCTAGCAATAGGCGAAGGAAGTAGACTTTCCAAATAACAGGCAATTCCACTAGCTTACATCACTTAAAAGCAGCACTTACATGTGCACAACATTTAGACAGAACTTCAAACTACAGTTTTCCCTATAGTAATGACTGAGAAGTTCTGAAGAGCTGCAAGAGCTTCCTGGCAGATACCCCTCTGCTCTATGTTTAGGAACATCTAACACAGCTGGAAAAGTGGAATCACACACTTGAGCTCTGTTTATGAAAGTTCTGTCCTAGGCCCCAATTTATGACTTTTTTCTGAGAAAAGGTCAGGCAAGAAATAAATGCAGTGAATATATGATTCATCATAATTTCTCTTTCAGAAATGAAATTCTGCTTGTTGAGGCCCTGGTATAATTTTTATAAGATAGTAATTGCTATTACTATCCTGTTCCTAAATAACAACAATAGCAACAATAACAACAATAGCAAAGTTAATACATTCCTGAATCCAAGCAGTACACTAAAAGTATCTATTTTTCCTCCCTTCATCTAAGCAGTCAGTAAGCAGTGTTTTTTATATTTCACTCTGAAAGCCGTGTAGCAGAGTTCTCCTTTCTAGGATTAGATTTTGTATCATTGCCTAGGGCTTCTGATAGTTTCTCATCTGAATAAACTGTCTTTCGCATAAAGCCTAAAAACAGGTGGTAGCTGTTACAGGAAGCCAGGTTGCTCAATAAAGAAAAAATCTCACTCTACTGAACAAAATGCACCACACTGGTGAACCTATCCTTTCCCCGTCATGTCCTCCTTGCTTACAAAAATCAGCAGCTTAGGACATAACTGCCTTGGAATCACAAAATGTGCCACTGTGGTACACAATGCTACATAAGAGGGAATTGGTGCATTGTCACCTCGATGTACCATCCTATTTGTTAATTAAAAAATATGTATGTACAGAACAGATTTACTCACACAGGTGCTACTTCTGCACGTTACAAGCTACAGCACTTTTCAAATAGCAGTTTCAGGTTTAAGCTCTCCAGACATTTTTTTCTTTCTCAGCACTTTCTTCTCACTCTGCTTGTTTGGGTATCATTTTGTTTAATTAACAGAGGAAAACACGGAGACTCTGAAAACTAAGTCACGGAGCTGCACAGCAACCCAGCCTGCCTGCTTTGCAGCATACATACCTTGAGATGTAAACTTTCTGCCTCCAACTATGGGTCAGTGAATAAGGGAAGCAGAGAGTTTCTGTGTCATAGACAACCCTGTCTTTAAATACTAACCCCTCTAATACAGCTTTATGATACATTATAGTGTCAAAGACTGCATAGTTTGTACCCTTGCTTCTTACAGTCCTGCTGTAATGATTATGACCATCCACAATGCAACACAGCAACTTATAGAATTCCTTTAACATTGATGCAGTTACCACAAAACTTTCAGCAGTGCCTTAACCTCCAATTCCCTAACAGCACTAAGACATTCAAACCAGCATGAAAGAGAGGAAGAATATAGCATATTTTTTAATCTGCAAAGAAATCAACAGATGAGAGTAGAAAATAGTCTTCATTTTTAGGCTTAGATTAATAGCCTCCAGATTGTTTCCTCTCTTTCCATTTCTTTCCTATAGTGTAAAAGAAGCTTGTTACACACCAAAAATACAATCCATAATGAAAAACATCATTCCTGCATCAGAAAGCAGACTTATTTCTCAAGTCATTCTTCAAACAGAATTCTAGCCACAGCAAGACACTGTGAGACAGTTTGAGAACTTATAAGCTGTTTGCTTTTCCTAAACAGCTTAATAAGGAGGAATAACCAAAATTAATTGCAACATACAGGAGTGGCTTGTTATCTTCTGGGTCATCATCTTCTACTTCCAGAAGCCAGCCATAACCCCTCTGTCTCAGGAATGTAGTTGCAGTAGATTCTTTGATGAATTCTCCTCCAAGATTTAGCTTAACATCTGGAGTTGTTATGGAGCCACTAATATCTTAGAGGGAAGAAAAAAAAAAAAAAAAGAGAGAGAGAGAGAAAGATATACCTTTTTATGCCTTGCCAAAAGCCATTTGATTTCAAAATTACTGGAAGATGAACAACAGACATGTGTGCTGGATATCACCATAAACTAGACAAAATTATAGAATAAAATGTTATCCTAAGGTGTACATAAATTGCAAGGGATCTTTCAGCTTTAAAGCAACAGCAACAACACTGGTTTAGATCTCAAATTACCAAGTTTTAGCTCCAAGTATAACTCTGCTGTTTTAGTTATACAGGTATGATATTCAGGCTTCTATTTGTGTTCCTTCACACATCTGTAGGCTTTAATTTGTAGTCAGCCTCTAATAAAGATCACATTTATTTTAAGCTACACAATGGTAGCTTAAAATACAACAAGTAGCTTGAGGAAATATAAAATAAAAATAGAACGTGCTTAGAATAGGAGAGCAATCATGAATTTCCATTTTGGTCCATGGTTGTACAGAGAGGGAGAAAAAATGAAAGTATTTTTCACGCCTGAAATTCATTATGGAGAACGACTCAGGAGTTTTCTAGTATCACTGGGATGTTCTTCCTCTCCAAGTATTTGCTTATGCTATAACGTAACACTGCCTTGCAAAGAGGGCTTTTTGCTATGCTTTGTGCACGAACATATACAGATACAGCCACCAAAACCAATAAATATTTCAACCAACCACCTACGTCTTCTTTCTCAGTGAAGTGTGGCCACTCATCCCGAAGCAGGAAGGCTTCCACACAACCTTATTTACTAAGGCTCCTTCTAGCAGTTGCTCAGTGATGAATACCTAACACAGCTTTTAGGGACGAAACCCATAAACGTGAAGAAAGTTTAGGTAATGCTCTGCAAGGCTACTTCTCAGGTAGAGCTGCAGAAACCAAGAAACCAGCCTGCCAGCCACCAACTGGCATGAAACTGGAAATACCAGGTTAGCCACCTGCACAATAATTGTGCTGAAGAATCTGCCAACAGCTCACGGTTCTGACGTTGGCTATAGCAAGAGCTATAGGATGCTTCCCTTGCTGCTGTCAGAGGCAGAACACTGTATATGCAGTGCTGAGGTCTCCCTCACAGATGGGCATTCCAGTAAACCACCCTTCCAAGACATTCTTTACTCTTAAATTTAAAAAAGTAATATAAGAGATATGAATACAGTCTGTTATTTAAATCATATATGTTCACCTAATTGAAGACTCCTCTCTATTATGAGAGTAGATAGAGATATGAATACAGTCTGTTATTTAAAAAATCATATATGTCCACCTAATTGAAGACTCTTCTCTATTATGAGAGTAGATGATAAAACAGCTTATGCTTTCATTATTTTATGTATCAAGATTTTTGAAATTAAGAGAAATAGTGCAGTGTGTAGAATTTTTATTTATAGGTATTAAGATGCCCAGTTTGGCTTATTTATTTCCCTTTCTTGGAATCGATCCATGCAGCATTTCACAAATACTTGAGTGGGCATGAGCTCACACCTTGTGCTCATGAAGAACACAAAGCCACATCCAATCCAAACATTCTCCTCAAAAGGTGGCTAAAATAGCCCAGCGTGCTATTAAGACTGCTGAGCAAGTATTTTCAGCAAGGGTTCAGAGCTTTCATAAAGAGGTACACAGGGATTTTGTTTCTTTGTTTAGAGTTTGTTTTTTCTCTCCAGACCAAGGGGGAAGAAAAAAAAAAAAAAAAAAGGCAGTTCCAGATTGTTCTTTGGTGAGATGAACTTCATTAGCAGTGGATTAATATTCCATGTCTAAGGACTAATGACTTAGTCATTCCACAGTACGCCTTTACCCAAATTATGCTTTTCCAGGGAGGAGCACATGAGTCAGGATTTACATGGTCCCCTGTACCTACTTACAACGAAAAGTTGTTACTAAATAAACATTGAAGGCAAAAAGATGACTGTTTAAACAGGTAGAGTCCATAAGATCTACTAAAAGAGAAAAAGCAGCAAAACGTTGGCTCCTGGGTGTTTTTGCAGCACCGAGACATACCCCTTCACGGCAGGTTTGTGCCCGACAATTTGTGCAGCGGGCAGGCAGGCAGGGGTCCACGCTTCACACGCTGACCTAGGCACAGGGCTCCTTTCCCCGGCACCACCGGACTGCAAGAGGCGGCTGCGGAGCAGCAGCGCCTCGAGGGCGAGCTGCCGGCGCGATCCTTAACGGCTGGCACAACGCCC